GGTGCTGGGAAAATTGGCTAGCCATAAGTAGGAAAGCTGAAACTGATCCTTTCCTTACTCCTTATATGAAAATTAATTCAAGATGGATTAGAGACTTAAATGTTAGACCTAATACCATAAAAACCTAGAGGAAAACCTAGGTAGTACCATTCAGGACATAGGCATGGGCAAAGACTTCATGTCTAAAACACCAAAAAGCAACGGCATCAAACGCCAAATTGACAAATGGGATCTAATTAAACTAAAGAGCTTCTGCACAGCAAAAGAAACTACCATCAGAGTGAACAGGCAACCTACAGATAGGAGAAAATTTTGCAATCTACTCATCTGACAAAGGGCTAATATCCAGAACCTACAAAGAACTCAAACAAATTTACAAGAAAAAACAAACAACCCATCACAACGTGGGCAAAGGATATGAACAGACATTTCTCAAAAGAAGACATTCATACAGCCAACAGACACATGAAAAAATGCTCATCATCACTGGCCATCAGAGAAATGCAAATCAAAACCACATGAGATACCATCTCACACCAGTTAGAATGGCATCATTAAAAAGTCAGGAAACAACAGGTGCTGGAGAAAAGAACACTTTACCACTGTTGGTGGATGTAAACTAGTTCAACCATTATGGAAAACAGTATGGCGATTCCTCAAGGATCTAGAAACTAGATGTACCATATTGACCCAGCCATCCCATTACTGGGTTTATACCGAAAGGATTATAAATCATGCTGCATAAAGACACATGCACACGTATGTTTATTGAGGCACTATTCACAATAGCAAAGACTTGGAATCAACCCAAATGTCCATCAGTGACAGACTGGATTAAGAAAACGTGGCACATATACACTATGGAATACTATGCAGCCATAAAAAAGGATGAGCTTGTGTCCTTTGTAGGGACATGGATGCAGCTGGAAACCATCATTCTCAGCAAACTATCACAAGAACAGAAAAGCAAACATCGCATGTTCTCACTCATAGGTGGAAACTGAACAATGAGATCACTTGGACTCGGGAAGGGGAACATCACACACTGGGGCCTATCATGGGGAGGGGGCAGGGGGGAGCGATTGCATTGGGAGTTATACCTGATGTAAATGATGAGTTGATGGGTGCTGATGAGTTGATGGGTGCAGCACACCAACTTGGCACAAGTATACATAGGTAACAAACCTGCACGTTATGCACATGTACCCCAGAACTTAAAGTATAATAATAATAAAAAGATTAATAAAAAAAAGAAGTTCAGAAAATAAAAAAAAAAGTTATCACACAAAAATATTCTAAGGGATATGTACTATAGATTAATCTATATCTAAGTCTGTGCACACACATACACATCACTGACATCGCATTCATATTCTTTCTTGTCATGCCCAACTTTTAAGCAGAGGTTTCAAAACTTGATTGCTTTGTAGCCATCTTAAACAAAAGTCTTATTTTGTAAACAATAATTTTCAGTTGGAAATTATATGGTCCAAGTAGAAGATATCTTCTGAGTCCCTATCTATTTATCCCCTAATTTTGCATGAAGAGATTTTAGTGCCCAGTATTTGTAGCTTTTTGCATGAGTGTCTTGCAAAGGTATGGTAATACTTATTCCTATTAAAACAAAGTATTTTAAAATAGTAGAGACAATTTGATTAAATAACATTATTCTGTGTAATATTTCTCTTACTTTTTCATAGTTGTTCCACAACAAATGGGTGTTAATACAAGCGAAAGCATTTCTTTTTGCTCTTAAACTTCCAACTCTGAAACTTTAGAAGTTATACATTGATTTCCTTGGAGGCTTAAAGGACTACCCAGAACCTCTGTCATCTCAGATTTTGCAGTTTAAGTATTTGCTATCTGAGACATGATTGTCTAACATAGTGCTATAGTGCCGTGTAATAAATGATTGTCTAACATGGTGCTGTCCAATAGAAATAAAATATGAGTCACATATGTAATTTTAAATTTTCTAGAAGCTTTAACAAGGTGAAATTAATTGTAGTAATATATTTTAATGATATATTTTATGTAACCCAGTAGATCCAAAATATTATCACTTTAACAAGTAGCCAAAATAAAAATTGTTAATTCGTTATGTTCTATTCTAGTGTAGATGTGTATTTGTGTTGGGTATGGATTGTGAGAGAAAGAACAGAGTCCAGGGTCACACCAATATTATGAGCCTTAGCCACTGAAAGAATGGAGTAGTCAGCAACTGAGAACAGACATGGTTGTGATAAGTAGTTCAATACCACATATGGTATATTTGAAATGTCTGTTGTACATCTATTAGACATTTCTCCTAGACATACTAGTGGAAATATACCTGTGAACATGTAAATAAAGATCTCCCCAGGACTTAAATTTTAGTGTGAAATTTAGGTAATATGAGATGAAATTTTGAAAATTAAAACTAATGAAACTTATTTTTACATAATGCAAAAGTGCTATATAGAAAAATATTGAAAGTGGAAGGAGAATGAAGAAGAGGGCACAATTTAAGATAGTGTTGTCAAGAAAGATCTCTCTGGGAGGTAACACTTGAGCAGACATCTGACTGAAATGAAGGAAGAAAGCTTGAACTGTATAACAGAAGAGAACTCTATGTATAGGGAACAATAGATAGATGGTTAGATATAGAGATATGTAAATGCATAGATACATGGATACATAGATTTAACCACCATACCTTGTCGCATTACTTTGATGAGAAAATACGTTTTTAGTTTGTTTGCTTGTTTGCTTGCTTGTTTGTTTTGAGACAGAGTTTCGCTCTGTCGCTCTGGAGTGCAGTGGCGCCATGTTGGCTCACTGCAAGCTCCACCTCTCTGGTTCACGCCATTCTCCTGCCTCATCCTCCGGAGTAGCTGGGGCTGCAGGCGCCCGCCACTACACCCGGCTAATTTTTTGCATTTTTAGTAGAGACGGGGTTTCACCGTGTTAGCCAGGATAGTCTCGATCTCCTGACCTCATGATCCGCCTGCCTTGGCCTCCCAAAGTGCTGGGATTACAGGCGTGAGCCACCGCACCCTGCTGAAAATAGATTTTCAATGCAGTTTTTAAAGAGAATGTTAAAGATAAGCAATATTAAAATTGAATTATCGTTGGTTTAATCTCTGCTAAGGTATAGATTTTGGGGTGGCCATCTTGTGATTTATATGATTATGTATGGAGTGTTGTTTAGATGTGGTTTTATTAGCAAGATTTATTTGCCTGAGGAATATTATTTTATTTTAGGAGTGCCAGAGGTATAAAGATTTTTAGCAACTGCAGCATGCACGACTATAGATACTCTGTTTCAAAATTTGAGGCTAAATGCCTTCAGAAGGTTTCAAATTTGCAACCATTACATCAAAATCAACCAGTGTGTGGTAATGGGATTTTGGAATCCAATGAAGAATGTGACTGTGGTAATAAAAAGGTGAGTAACAAAGATTGAAACGCGAGCACAGTTTTTATGTTTCTGATAAAACATAAGACATGTTTGTCATGGTATATATAATGATATATGCAACTATGCCATTAATTTATAACTGAAATATGAGAAAGAGGATGAGTTAAGATGTATAAATCACATTCCCACACTTCTTAAATTGAGAAGGCAAGTCTGTCGTTAACACTAGGTTTGCATATCTGTTTCCAGTCATGCTAGCAGATTGATTTTGAATATATTGGCTAAATAAGGTCCTTTTTATTATCCACATCTCAGTTCCTAACTCATTTGGCTTCATTCTCTGTTTTCTCTACAAACGTCTACTAAATTTGGTTCAAATTTTGCCCTATCTCTTGTTCTTGCAAGAATTGCTAAACATTGTAATGAGGTTTTTAAATCCTTCTCAGGCATTCCTGCATTTACAAATTTTTGAATGACCAAAATTTGTTTTATTTATTCATTTAAAAATATATGTATACACCTCATTATAATTTCATCAATCAAATGTTCAACGAACATTATTTTCAACAGGTGAGATTACATACTTAATCCGCTTTAATTATTGTCCCATAATATTTAACAATTTGTCTCTATTTCAATAAAGTTTCTTCATGATTTATCCCCCAACAGTTACATGAATTCCTCCTCCCTACATAAACAACTGTCACCACATTTTAACACACCGTTAAATTTTCTCAATTTCTCTTAAGTCATCCCATATTTCACAAGGTAAAGCCTATATGTAAGAGTCTGTGTGTGTCTATATATGTGTATATACACACACATATATCACACTTAAACGTATGTAGTACCCACATAGCACACACACTTACATGTATATACATATACCAGTTTCCAATTATCTCATATTTTCCCATGCTATCTTAGTTTTCTGATAAGCTGTACTGTGCTCATCTTGCCGTCTCCTACCCCCAAATATGGTATCATTTACCTGCCAATAAATACTAGCTATTTTTTATGAAGCATAAAATAAAGCAACACAATCTGGGTCTAGGTCTTCACATTTTGGATTTCTACAACTATAGAATGTAGGCAGATTGACATGAAGAGCAGATATAGCCAGTGTCCCATCAGTATTCCCTTTATATTTGCTGTTCCGGCAGTACTTTTGTTTCAAGTATCAGAGACTTTCTGCTGGAGTGTGCCTCCTGTTACCTCAGTGGTATGTGCATCCATTAGCACGGTGAGCTCAATGTGCTTGGAAACCAATGATCAGCCATCAGATAATTATGATGGTCAGTCCCAGATTCCTTTCTCCTTGTGAGGGAATTCTCTGAGACATTTTCTACATCAGAGTTCTTTAAGTGTGGCCAGTTGGTTAAATCCAGCTGCTGCTTGCCTCTTCTTGTAAATGAAATTTTATTGAAATGCAGCCATGCCCATGTGTTTGAATGTTGTCCATGGCTGCTTTTGTGCTATAATAGCAGAGGTAAATAGTTGCAACAGACACTATATGACAAGTAAGTCTGGAAAAAACTATTTGATTTTTTACAGAAAATGTTTGTTAATCAAAAGGGAATTTAGAGAGTAATTTGAACTATATGAAAGTTAAATGAAATGAAAACCAAGACATTTCAGAAAGATTCTATACAGAATCTGTGATAACACCCCTGACATCAGAGGGCCTGAAACACCGTTACAGTTATCACAGATTCTATATCCAGTCACTTTGAAAACCAATTGTAGACTTTTTGTAAAAGAAATAAAGTTATATGTTTCTACTAACAGCAGTGAAGAAAAAATTTCTTATGCAAGACTAAGAAATAAAAGGTATCAGACTCAGAAAAGAAGTTAAATTGTCTCTGCAGATGACTTGATCATATTTATAGAAAACTCTAGTGTCCAATTAAAAAATTAGAACTAATAAATAAATTCCGTAAAGTTGCAAGATACGAAATCAATATACAAAAATCAGTAGCTCTTCCTACACTAACAACAAACTGTATGAAAAAGAAATCAAGAACACAGTCTCATTTACAATATCTACAAAAAAAAAAAAATACTTGGGAATAAATTTAACCAGGGAGATGAAAGATGTGTATACTGAAAACTACAAAGTATTGTTGCAGGAATGAAAGGAAACAGATAAATGGAAAGATAAACCATGTTCAAGAACTGGAAAAGTTAATATTGTTAAAATATCTATAGTGGTTAAAGTGATCTACAGATTCAATGTAATCTCTATCAAAGTTCCAGTAACATTTTGTACTAAAATAGAAAAACAATTCTCAAATTCGTAAGAAACTCCGTAAGACCTTAAAACCTAAGCAATTCTGAGTGAAAAGAGCAAAGTCGGAGGCATCACAATACCTGACTTCAAAATATCCTACAAAGCTGTAGTAATCAAAACAGCATGATAATGACATAAAAACACATAGACCAATGAAACAGAGTATAGAGCCCCAAAATAAATTGACACATTTATAGTCAATTGATTTGTGACAATAAAGGATGTCTACTAACTATCCAGTTTACTAACTGTATATTCACATGTAGAAGAATAAAATTAGACCCTTGTCTCACAAAATATAAAAAACCAATGCAAAACGGACTAAAGATTTAAAACTAAGACCTGAAACTATAAAATTATTAGAAGAAAATATAGGAAAAAGCTCCACAACATTGGATCTGGCAATGATTCATGAATATGGCACCAAAAATACAGACAACAAAAACAAAAATAGAGAAATGGAATTATATCTAACTAAAAAGCTTCTACACAACAAAGGAAACAGTCAACAGATTAAAGGGAGCACTTAAGGAATTGGAGGAAATATTTGCAAACTATACATCTAATAACAGGTTAATATAAAAATACATAAGGAACTTCAACCACTCAGTAGCAGGAAAACAATCCAGTTAAAAATGGGCAAAGGACCTCAATAGACATTTCTCAAAATAAGACATACAAATGGATGAAAGGTATATGAAAATATGCTTAAAATCACTAATAATCTGAGTAATTCAAATTAAAATCAGAAAGAGATATTACCTCACATCTGTCAGAATACTATCATCAAAATAGATGACTGATAACAGATGTTGGTAAGGGTGTGGAGTAAAGGAAACCCTTGCATGCTATGAGGGAAATATAAAGTAGTACAGCCATTACAAAAACAGTATGGAGATTCATAAAAAAATTAAAACTTCATATAATCCAGTGATCCCATTACTGAGTATATATTCAAAGGAAATAATAGCAGTATGTTGAAGAGATGTCTGCATTCCCATTTTAATTTCAGCCTCATCTACAATAGCCAAGGAATGAACCTAAGTGTCTATCATTTTTAAATGGATTAAAAATCTGGTAGAGATACACAATGGAATACTACTCAGCCTTTTTTAAAAGAAGAAAATCCTGCAGTTGGTGACAACATGGATAAAACTGGAGGACATATGTTAAGTGAAATAAGGCAGGCATAGAAAGACAAATACATCTTCTTCTCACTTATTGTGGAATTTAAAAATGTGAAACATATACCAGCCAGGAGTAGAATGGTGCTACCAGGGACTGGGGGTGGGAAACTGGGGTGACGGTAGTCAAAGGATACAGAATTTAAATGAGGTAGGAGGCATAAGTTCATGGCGGCTATGGTTAATAAAGATGGATTGTATACTTGAAAATTGCTAAGAAAGTAGATTTTAAGTGTTTTCACCACAAAATATTCACAAGTTTGTGTGGTAATGCATGGATGTGTTAGCTTGGTTTAGCCATTTTAGAATGTATACATGTATCAAAACATTGTGCTGTATATAATTAATATATAATTTTTTGTTTTTCATTTTTAAAAATGCATTTTTTAAAAAATCAACAATAATGGTCATTAAAGTTGAAATATAACTAAAGATCTTATACAGATATTAAAAAATGGTAAGATAATATCACACACATTATATAAGTAAACAACAATCAGATAAAATTGACAAATTATTCTAAAATTTTATTTATAAACACTAACATGAGTCGATATTTAAAAAGTGAATAAATAGCCTTAAAGGAAGTCATATCTATATTTCACAACCTCTCATCAGAGAGAAGTTCATACCACATGACTCTACAAGTAATTATTTAAAAGTTAAGGAATTCTACTGATTTTAGTCTTAGGAAAAAACCTAATATGCCCTAACTTCTTTGAGGATAAAATAATCTTGATGCAAAAATCTGATGAAGATATTTCAAGAATAGTTTTTATGTGTTTTTAATTGATATATCATAGTTGTATATATTTTGGGGGTACATGTTATATTTTGATATATGTATACAATGTGAAATGTTGAAATCAGAGTAACTGGGATATCTTTTATTTGTGTTGGGAACATTACAATTCTCTTCTAGCTATTTTAAAATATGCAATAAATAATTTTAAACTATAATTTACTTATTGTGCTACTGGACACTAGAACTTATGTTTTCTATTTAATTGTATTTCTGTACCCATTAACCAACTTCTATTCATCCCACTTTCCTTCCCAGCCTCTGGTAACAACCATTCTACTCTCTGCCTCCGTGAGACCCACTTTATTGGCTTCCACACATGATTAAGAACATGTAATATTTGCCTTCCTGTGTCTGACTTATTTCACTTAAGATAATGTCCTCCAGTTACATCCATGTTGCTGCCACTGACAGGATTTCATTCTTTTTATGGCTGAATAATATTCCATTGTGTATATAAACCACATTTTCTTTATCCTTTCATTTGTTGATGGGCTCAGGTTGATTCCACACCTTGGCTATTGTAAATAGTGCTGCAATAGACATGAGCGTGCAGATATCTTTTCAATATACTGATTTCCTCTTTTTTGGATGTATACCCAGCAGTGTGACTGCTGGGTCATGTGGCAGTTCTATTTTTTGTTTGTTGAGGAAGCTTTATACTGCTTTCCATAATGACTATAATATTTTAGATTTCCATTAACAGTGTGCGAGTGTTTCCCTTTCTTAGCATCCACATTAGCATTTGTTA